ACCGCGTAGCTCGCGGGAGGACCATGGCGTCCCCGGCGCTGGCGGCGGCGCTGGCGGCGGCGGCGGCGGCGGCGGGGCCCAACGCGAGCGGCGCCGGCGAGGGGGGCAGCGGCGGGGCCGCCAACGCCTCGGGCGCTGCGCCGGGGGCCGCCTGGGGGCCGCCTGGGGGCCAGTACTCGGCGGGCGCCGTGGCGGGGCTGGCTGCCGTGGTGGGCTTCCTCATCGTCTTCACCGTGGTGGGCAACGTGCTGGTGGTGATCGCCGTGCTGACCAGCCGGGCGCTGCGTGCGCCGCAGAACCTCTTCCTGGTGTCGCTGGCCTCGGCCGACATCCTGGTGGCCACGCTGGTCATGCCTTTCTCGCTGGCCAACGAGCTCATGGCCTACTGGTATTTCGGGCAGGTGTGGTGTGGCGTGTACCTGGCGCTCGACGTGCTCTTCTGCACCTCGTCCATCGTGCACCTGTGCGCCATCAGCCTGGACCGCTACTGGTCGGTGACGCAGGCCGTCGAGTACAACCTGAAGCGCACACCGCGCCGCGTCAAGGCGACCATCGTGGCCGTGTGGCTCATCTCGGCTGTCATCTCCTTCCCACCGCTCGTCTCGCTCTACCGCCAGCCCGACAGTGCCGCCTACCCGCAATGCGGCCTCAACGACGAGACGTGGTACATCCTATCCTCCTGCATCGGCTCCTTCTTCGCGCCCTGTCTCATCATGGGCCTGGTCTACGCGCGCATCTACCGCGTGGCCAAGCTGCGTACGCGCACGCTCAGCGAGAAGCGCGCGCCCGCGGGCCCCGACGGTGCGTCCCCAACCACAGAGAACGGGCTGGGTGCGGCAGCAGGCGCGGGCGAGAATGGGCACTGCGCGCCCCCGCGCCGCCCGTGCGCCGACGTGGACCCGGAGGACAGCAGCGCGGCGGCTGAGCGGCGGCGGCGCCGGGGTGCGCTGCGGCGGGGCGGGCGGCGGCGCGCGGGCGGAGAGGGGGGCGCGGGCGGCGCCGACGTGCCCGGGCCGGGGCCAGGGGCGACCGATTCGGGCGCTCTGGCTGCCGCGAGGTCCCCGGGCCCCGGCGGGCGCCTGTCGCGCGCCAGCTCGCGCTCCGTCGAGTTCTTTTTGTCGCGCCGCCGCCGGGCGCGCAGCAGCGTGTGCCGCCGCAAGGTGGCCCAGGCGCGCGAGAAGCGCTTCACCTTCGTGCTGGCGGTGGTCATGGGCGTGTTCGTGCTCTGCTGGTTCCCCTTCTTCTTCAGCTACAGCCTGTACGGCATCTGCCGCGAGGCCTGCCAGGTGCCCGACCCGCTCTTCAAGTTCTTTTTCTGGATCGGCTACTGCAACAGCTCGCTCAACCCGGTCATCTACACCGTCTTTAACCAGGACTTCCGGCGTTCCTTTAAACACATCCTCTTCCGACGGAGGAGAAGGGGCTTCAGGCAGTGAGCTGCGAGCCCGGCCCCGCGCAGACCCTGGACAGCTCCAGGCGGCGACGTGGGAAGGGTTGGCCCCCCCAGGAGAAAGCGGGGGCAGCTTCCCCAGAGACCCAGGGATGGCTTGGCCTCCAGGGCGGAGGGGAGGGTAGGGCAGGGCAGGAGTGTGGGCTGAGAGGCAGCAGGGCCCCCGGGGAGGGGGGGAGGAGAGAGGGGGGACCCCTCTGCCTTCCCATCTCAGCAAAGGGCTGCTTCTGGGCCTTCGGGCCCGGATCCGGCTCTGGGGACCCCTGCAGAGGTGCGGCTGTGAGGTCAGGGTCTTAGACAGCAGAAGTGAATGCAACCTCCCAAACAGGAGAGAAAGGAGCTCCCCCAACACACACCACTACCCAGATCCATCTCTGAGCAAGGGCTGACTTCCCCAGGACCTAGTGGGGGCGGCTGTCTTGGGGGAGGAAAGAGGCACTGACAATCTTTGATTATTGAAAGTATTTAAATGTTTGCCAAAAATGACAGCCAAAACAACCAAACTATTTTCTAAATAAACCTTTGTAATCTAATGTTGGGTGCAGCTATCAGTCCTTAAGCCGTCAGTGGGGGTGGGGGGTACCCTCCAGACTTGACCCTGTCTAACCTCCCCCCGGGGGTGGAAGGAGGACACTCCAGGTCTCCAGATTCCAACATCCCCTCTTGCAGGAGAAGGAGGGGGGTCTTTTTTTTTTTTTTTTTTTTTGACATGAAAGGTAAAATCCTCGGGCTGTAATTGGCTGAGAGGCAAAAGAAACCAAGAACCCCCCAAATTAGGTCCCAGTTTAGATCCTAGGGGTCTGTCCTCCTTCATTCCCATCCCTGCCCCCAACCCGTTCCTGGTCTGGGATCCCCTCCCCAGTGGAGGGAGGCAGGGCTCTTGTGATCCAAGTCTCCAGTTCTGCCTGCTTTGGGTCAGTCAGTCCCCCCACCTCCGAACACTTTGTGGGCTTGCCACTTTGGAGTAGGTAGGGTGGGTGAGAGCTGCCCAGAAGGGGGCCTCACCCACAGATGGCGTGGGGTGCAGGCCAAGTCCCCAGATCCTTATTCCATGCCAGAGACCTTTACCAATTTCTTGCTGTTTTTGAACGTTGAGGTTCAAAAACAATGGGACCACCTGCATTGGCTGGGGAGGGGGCTGGGCCCCGCCTGTCCTCCCTAACCTCTCCCGCACCCATGCAGCCAAGCCTTGCCCCCTTGCTCAGCCCTCCCCCGCACCCCAGGGTGTCTGTACTCACTCCACACTGAGGCTTGAGGAGGGGTGGCTAGAAGAAGCCAGCGTTAAGTGGAGCGGTCCTCCCCCCGGGCCCTTCCAGCCCCCGTCACAGAGCCTGGAGAGTCCTGGCTGGTGGGGGCTCACTCTGCAGACCCCTGCTGTGACTGTGCTGTCCTCCTCTCACTCCGTCTCGGGTTCCCCTTGGCCTTCGGTACGTACCCTTCCCTGGCCAGCCCGCCCGCCCAGCCGAGCTCTCTCTTGGCTCACCACCCATCTGTCCTTGACCCGGGGTGGCCATGGGTGTGTCCTCAGGATGGCTCAGCCCCTGGCCCTGCCTTTCATTCCCAAGTCCCTGTCCCCTGAATCAGAAGCCAGGGTGGGCCCCTTGCCTGGTCTAATTTGTGGGGGCCGACCCTTGGAGAACCCTTCTCTGCAGCAGCCCCACCCATCACCCCAAGTTATAGGGACTCAGGACACCCCGCCTGGACCATGCCCACACTCACTCATGTGAGAGCACTCACACCTGCTGCGTTCAGGCTCAGGGGCAGGTGGGAAGCTGAGACAGAGCATGGCGGCGGGTGGGGGGTGTGGCTTGTCGAGGCTGAGTGGGGCATCCCTGACCCACCCCCAGGCAGGGGCCCGACAGGTTGTCCATGTCAGAGGCCCAGCTCTGTTGCAGGATTGCTGAGCTAAGCTCGGACAAACCCCTGACCTCCCAGGGCTTCAGCACCCCTTCTGTGAAGTGTGTGTGTGTGGGGGGGGTGGGGGTTGTTGGAAACTCAGGCCCTGCTAGGCCGGCCAATCTGTGCTCCCACCTGCCAGCTGAATCAGGGGGCCTCCGAGAGAGGGGACCTTCCCTTGGAAATGGCATGGCTGGCACTGGTGTTCCCACTGAGCTGCAGGGCCCCCTCGGTGCAGTGGGGTAACGACACCCCCACACAGAGCTTCTGGGGGATGCGCTCCAAGTCTACCACAGGAGCACGCAGCGTGGCACGCAGCCCACGGAAGAATGTCAGCGCAGCCTGCTCCGCTCGCTCCCTAATTGTGAGAATTGCACCTTCCTGGGCTGTCGCTGGGCCGCTGTCGCCTGGTGCTTAATACCCCATTCAGCGAGCAGATGTTCACCACTTGATGGTGATTGCCGCCTTTTCAGCTGCATAAACAAGAGCCGGAACCTGGCTTCTCACCCTGGCCTGCCACAGGGACATGGGCCAGCCGGCTCACTCGGAATCTCGGTGGATTCTGCTCACTCCCTGAGGGTGCCCGTGAGCACCAGCCGCTCCCGACATGGCCCGGAAACCATCTTCGGGGGGCAGCGCAGTAGCCGCGGGGAGTGGGGGCCCAGACCTCTGATCAGGCCGCTGTGCCCTGTTCCTTCACACAGTGGCTCTCCTCTTGTATGGGCATCTCCACGTCTACTCCAGGGGGCCAGGCTCATTGTCGACCCCGTTGTGCGGCTGAGGGCACTGAGCGCCGGGACCCACAGGTGTGAGGGGGTGGGTCATGCCAGGAACTAGAAACATCCAGCTCCACAGCCCAGGCCTGAGCGCCCGGCTCCAGTGTCCTCTGACCACGGGTGTTCCGTGGGCCTCGCCTCTGGAGAAGCATGTCACACGGCCTCCTTTCTGCCCAACGCTTCCCCTTGGGCTCTCAGGAGATCTCAGACAGAATAAAAAAGCATCCGCAAAAAGATCAAGGAGCGCCAGGCCCTGAGTGGGGGGACTGGCCCGAAAGCTGTACCCAGCCCCAGCCCAGCACTGATGCGGTTCTTAGGAGACATACAGAGACATACATTTGTTTAAATTAATTCTTGAATTTTAATTCAATTGCTGAGCTTGTAGAAAAGGGGGAAAAGGAATAATCCTAATAATCCATTACCGCTCAGTATGGAATTAAAAAAAAAAAATTACTCGGAGCCGGCAGAATCAATACTTGAGAAAAGCAGCTCCACTCTCTGCGTTCGGCCCCCGGCTCCGGGGGTGGGGCTGAGAGGCGGGAGAGAACACGTTGCCGCGGCACTTGCTGGCGAGGAAGCGGTCCTGGCAGCCGGCTGTTTTTATATCACATCCGTCGGCAGGACTCAAATATTCCAGTGCAGCCTCGGATCAAAACACACGCGCCTGCAGGTCTGTCTTGAGTCTGGTTGGGCAGCCGTGGCCAAGCTGATCGCCGCATCCCTGCCAACGCCAGCCACCCCCATCCAGGCGGACCCCCCCCCCACACACACACAAGGGGGAGGCGGGAGGTGGCCAGGCTGAAGATTCTCCCGGGCCCCGCCCCACGGCAGGGGGGCCCCATGGCTCCATGTGGGACCACACAGGCATCTGGCCACATAGCCTGTGGCTCTCTGTGGGCAGGGATGGGCAGCCTCCTCTGCGTGCCAGGGGGCATCTGTGGGGTGCTGTAGACATGGGAGGGGGGCTCAGGGATGGGAGAGGGTGAGTCCCAGGATAGTAGACATCCAGATGCTCAGAGCTGAGGAGCAGGGGAGGGAGGGACCCAGGTGAGGGTCTTCCACCCTGAGGACCCTGTGTCCCTGCTCTGGGTCTGCCATGCGTATCCAGGGGGCCTCAAGCTGCCTCCCCCATTCCTAAGGGTCATCTTCCTGTTTGACCAGCTGGGCTGTTGAGAGCATCACATGTTGGTGGGGTGGAGAAGCAGGGTGAGGGGGTTGGGGGGGGTGGAAGCATCTGGTTTGCTTGAGAGGGACCCCAGCAGGCACTGTGGCTCCATCTGCTGTGAGACCCCGACTCTATCTCCCAGCAGCCATAAGGAGGCTGCACATCCTTTCCTGGCTGGGCTGGGGCCGGGGGTGCAGTGCCACACTCTGAGGTCTGCCTGGGAAGCAGAGCTGACTGCCAGCGCGGGGCCAAAAGAGAGCCCTGGGGACCAAAAACGTGCTTCTTTCTTGCCAAGAGGATCTGTAGCTGCTCCCAGTGAAAGCCTGGGGGTACAGCGGGATTATTATTGTCAAGATAAGGATCGCCATGCAGGACAGAGGGGGAATGCTGGACCAGAAAGCCCCGTTTAAGGGCATCCTGCTCTCCTGGCTGAGCACACGGTGTGGTCCGAGCTGCCTGGCCGTGATGGAGAGAGAGGAAGCCGGATGCGCACCGAGGCTCTGTGGCCAGGTTGGTGGGACCTGGAGCCCCGCAGGGCGGCTATGAAGCCTGCCCGAGCCTGGGCTGGGTGCCACCCCGCAGGCCACCCTGACCCAGAGGAGTCTCCTCTAGAGGGGGGCTTTTAGGACTGGGAAGGTCTCTGGAGGGACATTCAAGCTATGGTCTCTGTTGGGGTAGGGGGATAGTTGAACCTCAGGTGCACCAGACTGGGCTATTTTTGACATATTCCACCAACACCCCAAGCCTGCCCCTCCCTGGGCCAGGCCCTAGCTGGCTGGGGCATGGGGTGAGTGGGGGTGGGTAGTCACTGGGGAGGGACTGGCCCAGTGGCTGAGACGGGGGCCACCCATCTCTGATGCCTGCCGCCTATACATCTGGGGCCAGCAAGAGGCTTTGGGGCTGCAAAGCTGACCTGGTGCAAGGCCCCTGGGCCCCAGGACAAGCCTGCACTGCTATCGGCTCACAGGCTGTCAGCTTCAACCCCCCACCTGCTCATTGCTTCAATCTGCCTCTCCAGTGCCTTTATTAATTCAGGCTGTGCCCTCCCCCCAGGAGCACCTTTCCCGTCTTTACCCAAGTGCCCCTCATGGGTCCCTCACAACTCAGACCAGGCTTCATGTCCAGAAAGCCCTTCGGACCCACAGGTCCCAGGGCTGGGCCAGGCACTGCCCCTCGTCC